TGCCTCGAACCACTCTTTGTATTCAGCCAGTTTGCTCTTCCATTGCTCTGGAAATGGAAGAATTGCTTTTTTAATAGGAAAATCGAACTAATAGGAAGCATTGATTTTATGCTTTGCTTAATTCTTTCACATAGGAATACCAGGTAGGTTCAGTTTTCAATTAAATTTGTTTTAAAGCAAAAAAGAAAAACGAGGGAAAAATTGTCATGGCAAAGTGATGTTATACTAGCCGCCGCCCCCGACTTCGTACGCGTGGACCCCATTTTACCCCCTTACGGGTGGAGCTTCGTAAAATCCGTTTTTAGCGGATAACTACTATAGGTACCTTATAAGGAACCTACCTACCTGCCAAATTTCAAGTTTGTAGAAGTTACAAATTCTGAGATTTCGTGATTAATCAGTGAGTGGCATTTCGCTTTTTTTACTGTTCATTTACTCGCATAGTACAAATATAATTTACCTTGCAGATCCTCCATGGTGCCACATGGTCCGCCGTATTCAACAGGGAGCATCTCTTGAGGCACGTGCTTGTATAAGTCTTTCACTTCTTTGTGGATGAATATCTGGAATTAGAAAATGTATATTTTTACAGATTTTTTCTAAAATATAGCTAAGATTTTAAGTTACGAATCGATTACAAAAATAACTCAGTAGGTAAATCAAAATCAGTACATCCGTTTGGGAGCTATGTTGCCGCAACAGATAAACAGTCACAGAAAATCCGGAATTTGTTCAATCCGTTAAAAATTCTTGATCGACGTAAGCGCGTAATATTTGCCTGAAATTTTAAGTACTTACCTACCTACCTTTATAAGAACTAGGTAGAATAAACCTAATGCGAAGCTACTAAGGAGATAAATATAACTAAGTACTTACGCGTTTCCTGATTTTTTCTTTGAGGAATGGTTTGACAAAGTTGACGAATCTCTCGACGATGGGCGATGTGTTGACGATATGGACCTCCTTCAGTTTCACCGGGTACGCTTCCTGTAAAGAACAAGCAAACATTAGTTCGAAGGGGCATTGTACGCCTTAATTCACAAATATTACTATGAGGTCTCACAGTGCGCGTGGACGCACAGGGTGAAACACGAACCAATCACAGAACTCTATTCAACGCTGTGCGTTCGATTTCCTTCACGTAGGCAAGCATCGTTTGTGAATACGGGCGTTAGACAAACGATGATGGTATCGGAATGCCCGATTCGAGATGCGAGGAACGGTGATTCGAACTGACTTGTAATACCAGCATAGCATTAGCTTAGCAATTAGATACTAGCGGCCGCCCGCGACTTCGAACGCTTGGATCCCGTTTTACTCTCTTAGGGGTGGAGTTTCGCAAAATCCCGTCTTAGTGAGCACCTACGTTCTAAAAGGAACCCCCATGCAAAATTTGAGACTCCTAACACTTGTAGTTTCTGAGATTTCGTGATGAGTGAGTGAGTTTTATAGATATAGGAGATAGATAGAATTGTGCAATATTAATTAGATACTCGTAGGTACTAATATACTTTTTTTAAAGTAGAGATAATGGCCCAACTATAACGATAACCGGACTTTGTGGGGTCAGACATGGTCATACGTTGTCTGGGTCATTGCCGCATTTTTGTATTGCTCTTTCATTTGGACATGCTCTCGTTTCTCGTTCAGTTCAAAGTCCAGTTTAAAAGTGAAAGTAAGAAATGACTCCATCAAATATCAGAAAAAGTTCACGATATTTTCATATCTGTGGAACCAACCCAGATACTTGTTTCATGGAACTTTTTAATGGCCTTATTGTAGAGCTAATTCTGTGCTAATGTAGCATTATACGAGTATTAAAGGTACTGTATTAAAGGTGTACACCACTAGTCAATTGGCATTTTTCTATAAGCTGTGAAAATGCGACTATAGATTGTCAACTGACCTTGGGGATTCCACTACCTACTTAATCAATTCATTGAATTTAAAGCTAGTGCAAATTGAATTTTATAGCAAATCTAAAAGTAAGTAGGTAGTTTTAAGCACACAAACGTTCACGATGTGACTCTGACGTATATGTATTATGCTTTGTCAATTGGTATATGAATATTTATCGGTCATTTGCTCTTTACCTGTATACAGATCATAAACTTCTTGATGGTAGTTGGTGACAGCTTGGCCAGCAGGCTGGGAACCAGCACAGTTACGTCCAGTACTTACTGTCAAAAGGCTCATAGTTGTCGGTTATTTGCTCCGTACCTGAACACAGATCATGAACTTCTTGATGGTAGTTGGGGACAGCTTGGCCAGCAGGCTGGGACCTAGTACAGCAGCGTCCAGCACATACACGTCACCAGCCACGCCCTCCCTTTCCTCGATTAGGCGGACGTCCCCAATCATGAGAGCTAACTTGAGGGTGTCTGCGATCTCGTTGGCGTTCAAGTTTGATTGTACACCTGAAAAAAGATTGGTCATAAAACTTGGTTGAATGTAAATGTGGAATCGATCAGTCTACTTTTTTGTAGCCAAAAGGGTGTCAATAAAGAACATAATGTAGATTGTACATAATTGGGTCTGAATTTTTTTTATGGCATTGTGAGGTTTTTTTTCGAAGGTGAATCGATTAAGTATGCTATATGTAAATCAGCGGCTTTCAGCAGACTGTATCTCATAATCCGCCGCAAGATATTTAGACTAATAATTTACAATACTCTTATGACAATAAATTATGTCAATAACGATATCAAATTGCACAATAGTGAGGAAGTTTTTAATTACATTAAGATTTCAGATTCAGTCTGGTAGAGCTGATTGACGAAGAATTCTTACCTCTACATACCGTGACTCTTCTTCCATTTGGTGTCAAACCTGGAAGAGGTGGGCCTTGTCTGTAAAGAAACAAAAAATGATAATTAAACAACAATTAACTAATATTTTAACAACACCAGCAAAATGTAGCTGATTGCCTGTAACACTCGACTTCGATTCAGGATTCTACTTCTTTGTCCCTATTAATTACAATATTATGTTAGTAAGAAAGTACCAGTACCAAAGATGTACCTTTAACTTTGGTTCTACAAACTCGATTCCATGAAGCTGTAAGCTTCGTGAAATCGAAATTGAGTACTTACCTATTAAACTACTTGCGCTGCTTCTTCTCAGCACTGGCCCATTTATTGTCCCGAAGCAGTGGTAGGGTTAATATTGGGACGTGTAAAAGTGCTTTTTAAAAGCCTATTTGCAAAAATAAATGAGTTTAATGAGTTTTAGTTTTTTACATTTAATTTTTGAGAACTACTGTACTATACCTTCTGTGCTATATAACTTAACTTTTTTACAAAAACAAAACAAAAGAAATGCTTAAATGCAATATTGTCGAAAATTAGAATACTGATATTCTTTCATGTTTCCA